CATTATAATAATCATGCATTATAATAAACGGGCAATAGTACGTGGACTGATAAGGAAACTTTACAATGTATTAATATCATGTGGGCATTATTCTAAATTACTTTAGGAGTAGTTATTACGCATGATGCTATTAAATTAAGGTGACAACTCCGGATTTTTTTAAAAAAATAGGGTACTGTACCTACCATTCATTTGATTGGACCACATCATTTTATCATTTTTAATTTAGATTTAAATAATTCAACTATAACATTCTCATTGTTCCATGTGGACAAAGGTATGGTACCTTATAAGTACCATAAATCTACCTTAAATTAAATGATAAAATCATGAATGTTTAGATCTCACCTAGACATCCGTAAATCACATCAATCAAAATTTTGCACATTTAAATAATTTGATTTTAATTTATCACCCATTTGTGTAATTGTGCATAATTTTCATGCAATTGTTCACATTTCACATTAACACACACACACTATCTACGGCAGTCATATGAATTCTAAAAACACCAAACCGTGTGAAGCAATAACACAAAAACATTTATTATACAAGAATTGCTTTATTCTCTTTTGTTATAGTATTTTGTGTGCGCACCTTTGCATAAAAATAATATGCACGAGTAATACTTTATGCCATTGTATATTTTAATAGTCCTAATAGTTTAATTGCATTATGAAATATTTATTCCAAAGTATGCAGATATATTATTAAACTAAATAAGTATAGTCGTATAGAAAATAATGTATTTTTGTCATTAAATACATTATTGTGCATTTATATTTTCTCATTAATTGTATCATTACTAGTATCCGACCCATGCCCTGCACGGAGAAATTAATGGAAATTTCAAGTAAAAAGTGAATTAAAAACGAAAATAAGAGTCTTGTGTTTTTGTGCGGAAACATGAATAATGAATAACTATTTTTTCGTTATAAAAATAGTCACTTCTATTTTTATATAACTATAACTAATTTGTGGTTTTGATTAGTTATTCATTTATTGATATAATTTTCAACCATATTGACTTTACCTTATAATCTCACGTGCTGATTAAATTTTATCAATAAATAAGAATCTGTCCGGTAACACTAAAATTGACTAAATCAGTTCAATCTTTTGAAATTCATTAAGTTTTAGCTAAAATGGCCGAATTGATTAAATCTATTGATTTGTGTAAAAGATATTTAGAGTATATTTATTAATTAAAGTAAGAAAAAATATATGAATGAAGAACTAATATGGAAAGTAACTTTAATTGAGCTAGTCACAAAAGCAACTACAATCTTACTCATTTTCATTATTACACAATGTAGCGCGTGAAATAAAAAATTTGTATGTGATAAAAAGTTAATTAATAAGACTGATAAGAAATAAGGTTACCAGTTGTGCTTTAAGTAACTTGCAAGTAATGATAACATCTATTAAAAATATCAATGTATCAATTTTTGTGTGTGGAAGAATATCAATCTATCAATTATAAACTTATAAAACATGGAGCATTTTAAAGAATGAATTACTTATCATTTTAATAAGGTTAATTACCAGTTGTGCTTTAAGTAACTTGCAAGTAATGATAACATCTATTAAAAATATCATTGTATCAATTTTTGTGTATGGAAGAATATCAATGTATCAATTATAAACTTATAAAACATGGAGCATTTTAAAGAATGAATTGCTTATCATTCTAGTTTTTTATTGTGCTCATTTCTCTCTGCTATACACAAACTTCAACCACACAATTTCTATTTTTATTATTTCTCATCACCTAATCCATTCGAAATTGACAAAACGTACCGGGACGAAGGTAATATATTCCAATTTAAAATAAAATTATACCTTTTATTTAGATAAGAAGGTGTAAACACAGATAAGGCATTTTAAGATGTTCCTCCTTAAACGGCTCTATCATATTGAAGTTGATAATTTGTTTGAAGTTCGCTACTTACGATTCATTTTGAATTGTTGAATTGAAAATTGACTTACATTACAGATATGAATTGGTGAAATTTGCTATTTTTGAACTTTGTGATAAGAAAAATTCATCAATGTGGTTTTTGTGAGGTAACATCGGGTGGATTCAACGTGAGAAGGGAGGAGATATATTTCAATTTTCTCGATTGTAAGCCACACTTCGTTTATAAAAATATGTAGAAAAATGGAAACTTGACTGGTGACTGAAATTTTTACCATTTTGTTCCAGTTCAGTGTGCAAATTGGGCCTTTTATTTAGTTCAGGGACTAATTGAGCTTACTCGACATGTACAATGACCTATTTGACCCTCTAGCCTATAATATTTTAAATTTATTTAAAATATACTACATAATTTTTTTACACATGTTCATTTTTTAAAATATTCAAAAAACTTCTCGCTAGACAACATTTTTTGTTGTCTTTCACTTTTCTTCATCATCCAGTATTAGTGATGAATGTAACATACCTTTTCATCCATAAGAACCATATTCAATGAGCGGTGATTACTGATTATGTGGTCTGGATGAATTCATCTTTGGAACGAATCACAAGCGAACTAACACTTCCTTAATATTCCAAGTCTTTCAGAGTTGAAACACTCGAAATTGAATCACACTTGATTGAAGACGTCATTTCTCAAGGTGGTGAAAATTGTATAATGACGACAATTGTTTTGTTGGTATAGTTTATTCATCGATAGTGAGTTTTTTATTGAAATATAGGTTTGAAGAGGTCATTATATGGTATTAAAATTATTTGAATGCCGGTTGAGTATTAAAATTATTTGAATGCCGGTTGAGTATGATAACATTAAATACCACTTACAACAATACTAAAACGACCTGCGGTAATTTAACATGGCCGGAGTAAGTAATAATATGACAATATTTAAATAAATGTGTGTGATTATAGATTTATAGAGCTATTTATGGAAAACGTTGTAGAAGTGATGGGCAAGAACTGAAGATGAGACAAAACGGTCAAACTTGCCATACTACTAGTATAAGAATATTAATATTACCATATAATATGATCATCTACCTTTAGTGTTACCAAAAACTCGGTTTCCTATTGACATTAATATTAGTTAATCACTTGCTGATTTGCAAGAATTGATGAGTTCACGCTTAAAGATTATGTCGCAATGGAGATTCAATAATTATTTTAGCGATAAGTGAGATGGTAGATAGAGATGGTAGTTGAGATTATAGCATATATCCATAATAGTTGAGATTAATATTCTCAATTTTTTCATAAATTAAATAGCAATAGAGATGGTAGATTAGCCACACGTTGTAGAGCTTTCCTTAAATTAGAAAGAGGGTGTATTACAAAATTATGTATTGGAATGGTGTTATCAAAATATAAACGGCAAGTGATTAAGCAAGGTATACTTACCTTGATTAGAGATACACAGTCATCAAAGACTTAAAGTCTCTTTAATTTGAGAGTGTATTACCAAATTATGTATTCGACAAGTGTTTTTAAAATATGACAAATCAAATTAATGTGAAAATGACATGTGTCAAGTGATCGTGAGCATGACACTTGTCAAAGAGTTAATTCAATGTTACTTGCAAATGTATAATATATAGATATAGATATAGATATAGATATATATATATATATATATATATATATATAGATATATGCACTAGTATCGAAAGATTCTGCACTTTTATCATTAACTAGCACACATTTCAAAGTAAAGAAGACTTTTAAAAATAGTATTGTGTACATTTATCATTTGTATTTGCACATATGTTCTTAATCAAAGTATTTGCACGTTGGGATGCGGTTCCGGTGAGAATACCCCTTCACGTGAGAAATGAGAATGTTCCAAAATGTTGCACTTTATCATGCACGAAAATGCACATTTATAGTTAAAGTGATGCAAAATTCAAATGTGCATATTTACATTTAAACTTTTGCACAGACACATTTTATAATTTTTTATATGCACATTTTGTTTTGCATGATGCACGACACCCAAATCCAACGCTCTAGAATTATTCTCGATTCTCTCATAAGATGATATGCTCATATGATCCTTATTTTGCATGTTATATATTAACAATTACGTAGTATGTATTAATATATTTTCTTCTTTCTTCTTTAGATATGACAAAATGAAAGTGCAACTTTATTGTTCAAGTGGTGCACTCATATTGCAAAACTTATGCACTTTTATCACATATCGATGTGTAATTACATATTTATAAATATATAGCACTTTTAGAAATATGATTTGTGCTCTGTTTTTTATTATTCTAATAGTGCTCTTACATTGCAAAATTGTGCACTTTTATCTTTAACTATAGCTGTGTGCACTTACGTACTCAAAACTAAATATGCACATTATTGTGCACTTATTTACATATGCGAAAAATTTTGTACACTAATTCTTAACGGAAATATCGTGCACTCTATGTTTTAATTTTTTTGAAAGTATATTGTGTGATTTAGTTTACTTACCTTCAACAACATATATATAACAACAATACTACCAAAAGTGCAAACTAAATATTTAACAATGCACATCCATACAACCAAAAGTGCACACCAAATATATTTAAAGAAACATTGGAATATATAACCTAAATAAAAAATAGTGAATAAAAATGAAACTTTTTATATAGTAACTAAGATATACTCATACCATACGAGTATCTTTAATCATAATTTTTGTCCACAAATTATGTCTCAATGATAATTAACGAAAATCATTTTTGAAATAGAAATTATGCATTCAAAGTTAACACAAAAAAACATTGGTTTGGGAGTCCTTTAAAAAAACATAAATTTGAAGAATTCAATTGCAACAAGCATGAAGCTTCCTACATGTGCAAGCAACAACCATGAAGCTTCCTCCATGTGCAAGAATGACAAAAGGAGCTTCCTCAACCACCATTGAAGTTTCCTCATGTTTAATCCCACCTTCCTTCCACCTTCATAGTACCTAGTTTTGGTGCTATAAATAGAGAGCTTGGAGAGTCTTTCTATCATCAAGTAAATTAGAATAGATCATCATAGCACAACCAAGAAGAGTTGTGAATATCCTTGAGAGATATGTGAGGTGTTGTTTTTTAGAGTTTTTAGTTAGAGCTTGTATGTCTCTTCTTTCTATTCTTGAAAGTAATAGAAGTGTTTTTCTCTCATATTAGCATGATCCTGTTATTCCCAACAAGTGGTATCAGAGCCTGGTTGAGCTTTTGATATTTTTCCCAGATTTTTTCAGATAAAATTCTACTGTCTGAAAAATCGAGTTTTTCAGTATTGCTCGGAATTGCAATCTGAATATACCGTTGGATTCGCCTCGACGAGACGAGAAAACTGGTATTTTTGGGGAATTTTTTGGCCACCGGAAGCTGCCGTACGCGCCACCAAACGCCGGCCAAAAACTGCCTGCGTCATCGCTGACGTCATCACGCGCATTCCAGAGGTAGAAGACAGCTGACGTCATCGCTGACGTCATCAGCCAGTCAGAGCTGCGTCAGCGACACGTCAGCGCCACATGTGCAGTCCCAGCACAGTCAGCCGCCACGCCATCAGACAACTGCCATCTTTCACCTGCGTCCAGTCAGCTGCCACGCCACTGCCACGTCACCTGCCACGTCACCGGTCAGTTTTTAAATTTTGAAAAATTGCAGTTTGGTCCCTCAATTTTTGAAAAATTATAATTTCGGCCTATAATTTTTTGAAAATTGTATTTTGACCTCGAAAGTGCCTACCCACCATTTTCGGCCGTTCTGGATGCAACGGTGTTGCCCGTTTTTCGAAATTATGCGCTGATTTTTCTGAAACAGAAAATCAAAATTATTTAGAAGGTGAAAATGACCTTTGACGAGTCAACTTCATCTTCCGGAGCTATGATTATGCTCACGGCTACCAACTACACGCTATGGAAACCTCGGATGGAAAATTTTCTTAGCTGTAAAGACCTTTTTGATCCAATAGAGATGAAAGGTATTAATCCTGACCCGGCTAAGTCAATGGAGTGGAAGAAAATTAATAGAAAAACTATTGGTCAAATCCGACAATGGATTGACCATAGTGTCTTCCACCATGTTGCACAAGAAACCGATGCTTATGCCCTTTGGAAGAAGTTAGAAGATATGTATCAGGCGAAGACAACTAGGAACAAGGCCTTACTGATGAGGCATCTTGTCAATATGAAGCTCAAAAGTGGAACTTCTGTTGCTGAACATACTAGTCAATTTCAGAGTCTGGCAAATCAACTATCTTGTGTAGAAATGCCACTTGGAGATGAAATGCAATCTCTACTACTTCTTAGTTCCCTTCCTGATAGTTGGGAGACACTAGTTGTTACTCTCAGCAACTCAGCCCCAGACGGCAAACTTACCATGTCTGTGGTTAAGGATGCATTGTTCAATGAGGAGGCAAGAAGGAAAGACATGAGCACAGATGAGACTCATGCCCTTGTGACGGAGAATAGAGGAAGATCACAAGGAAAACAACAAAGAAACAGTAGAGGGAAATGGCAAAGCAGAGGCAAAAGTCGGGGGATATCATCAGATGGCCGGAAACCTTCTTATACCTGCCACCATTGCGGTATAGAGGGTCACATGAAGAAGAATTGCTACAAATTGCTAGAGGAGCGAGGCAAGAGAAATTCTCAAGCGAAGAACAAGGGTGGTGAAGCGCTCATCACAATCTCAGGTGATGTGGCGTATTGTACTATCAATGATGAAGCATGCCTTCACGTCTCAAGAGAGGACACCGAATGGGTGGTAGATACTGCAGCATTCTACCACGTTACTCCCCACAGGTACTACTTCACAACTTACAAAGCTGGAGACTTTGGAGCAGTGAAGATGGGCAATTCCAGTTCCTCTGGAATAGCTGGAATTGGTGATGTACAAATAAAGACAAGTACTGGGAGCACAATCACTTTGAAGGATGTCAGACATGTTCCAGACCTTCGACTCAATCTCCTGTCAGTGGTATGTCTTGACGGGGTATGAAAACCACTTTAACAGGAGCACCTGGAAAATGTCAAAGGGTGTTTTGACAATCGCTCGTGGACATGTTTGTGGCACATTGTACAAAACCCATTTGAGGATTTGTACGGATAGCCTCAACATTGCTGAGGAGACCTCTCATAATCTGTGGCACCTGAGACTCGGCCACATCGGTGAGAAAGGGTTGAATACCTTGATGAAGAAGAAACTTATCAACATTGATAAGAATGCTGCACTGGGTCCTTGCAGTCATTGTCTGTTTGGTAAGCAACATAAAGTATCATTTAGTTCTACTTCAGCTAAAAGATCGGAATTGTTAAGTTTGGTACACTCCGACGTCTGCGGTCCTTTCGAGGTGGAATCAATCGGTGGAAGCAGATATTTTCTGACTTTTATCGATGATGCTTCTCGGAAAGTGTGGGTGTATTTCCTGATTACGAAGGATCAGGTGTTCGAGAGCTTCAAGACATTTCACGTCTTGGTGGAACGTGAAACAGGAAAGAAGCTGAAATGTATCCGATCTGATAATGGAGGCGAGTATACTTCCAAGGCGTTCGATGCATATTGTAGAGAATCTCCAATGCGAAAATGTTAACGATGCAGACATGGCATGACAGATAACCAATCAAAAAACAATAAATAAAATATCTCTCTCCTATTTGAAGGATCTTATATCATTTTGGTAAGTTTTTCTTCACAATGTAAAGCACAATGTCTAGATGTAGACATTGTAGTTGACATTGCAGAGAAAAACTTACCAAAAACACACAAGACCGTGGAAAGACGGAGAGAGAAATGTCATAAAATCAATCTTTTGTGTCTATCTCTTTCATACCACATGTGCACCGTGCACATTGTAGCGTTGCAGATGCTCTAAGAGTGAGTAAACAATTACTCTCACTGCTCCAAAATAAAGGTTTTGATTTGAATCGGCACACTTATTAAGGAAATCTGAAGCTTCTTTTGGGAAGTACAAAGAAAAATAACAACCTTATTTTGGGACAGAGGGAGTACAAGTATATGATAATGGAACCTTCTTCAAATCTCAGTATTAGCTGTTTATCTCATATATGATGTTATAAACTATGTTGCACGGATACGTCGATATGCGAATACGAGTACGACGATACGGAAATGTAAAAAATTATAGCATACGAGTACGGGGGTATATTTATAAATAATAAAAATATAGGGTATAATTTGCAAATATATACTCCCTCCGTCCTATTTAAACGTTCCCACTTTCTTTATTTGAACACCCCATTCAAAGGTTCCCATTCCATTTTTGGAAATGATTTACCCTCTTTTATTACCGATTTACCCACCTCTTAATGAAGTAAAACCCACTAAGTACCTTAATTACTCCCAGCGGCCCCTTTCAAAAAATAAAACTGCTCCAGCCGTCAAATCCCATCAACCATCCTACTACCCTACCCAACTACCGAATTTAATTTTTTCCTTTCATCTTCCTTACTTCATTCGTTTATCTCCACTATTCTTCACCATCGAAGCTGTGTAGGATGGAAACAACTAACAAGATGTGCTCCGAATTGCTAAAATATTTTGGAGATGATGAAATAATAGCCGAACCCCTTAAAAAGTGCCGGACATTGAAGATAGCGATGAGAAGACGGAGGAAGACTTAATTTCCGGCGAAGTGGAAGAGGTGAGCTCTCGCCGCTATTCTGATGTCCTACCTTGGGGCTGGGATGAGCTGGAGAGAGAGGGCTTTTACATGATCTTGTGCAATTGCGCATACGAAATGACTTTTGAAGAGGTATTAATCTATGTGAATCTGCCACCCAAAGTCATCAATTTAGCCCATCCTATTCCATACTCTAAACCTGTTGCTCCACATATCAGAGAGACACTTGATAAATTTATGGAAATCTATCTTCCAAGAATTTCAGAACTTGAAAGGAAACAAAGGCAAGTTCATTCTTTACATCATTTATATATTAACAGTTCAATGAATTTATCCTAAATTTATGTTTATGTAATCTTTGTTAAAAGGAATGCTTAAATTCTGGTTTGACAGTTTAATGAACTTAAATTCAGGTTATTGATTTGTTTAAAGTTTACTGATTTGATTAAGTTTAGTGCAGGTTTTCTTGCTCATAATAAGGCATGTAAATTTTAGTCTTGTAAAGTTGTTCATTTGTTAATATTGCTTTTAATAATATTTGCTAAATGGAATGCTTTCAGGGGCATAACCAGGATGAATGCTTACCCTGGGCCGACTATACACTAAAATTCTAATACACATCATATAAAAATTTTAAAAGCTACAATAATGTAAGCATAATGATTAATCCATTAAAATTCATAGTAATATGTTTTAAACAATACATACAATGTTGAAACTAAAACGTTAACTAAACACAACGCTCTTTGACCTTAACAAACTCTTCCTCTTGAGCATCGAAAACTACTTCCTCTTGAGCGGATGAGATATTAGGAGTTTCAATTGAGACATTTAACTCTTGTCTACTTTGTGTGCTTGTAGTAGACTTATAAAATGAACGCAATGTGATTTTTGCCTTTTTGGAAGTAGATTGAGTAGTCATACCTACTAAAATTACCCAAAAAAATAAAAACTAATCAAAATTTTATTTGATTTCATACAATTCATATTAATATTTTAAAAAAATCACAAGCCACATTTGGCATTCCTAATTTTCTATTTCACAATTCAAATTTCAAAGCACACAATTACACAAATCAATTGCACACTAAGTTTCTAAAACAAACTAATTTAACAAATAAATTAATACACATGTAAAAACAAAATTACACAAATCAATTGCACTAAGTCACAAACACAAACTAATTTAACAAATAAACTAATAAACTAACACAAACTGATAAAAATTGTAAAAACAAAAAAGTACATACCTTGGCTCAGCAGACCTGCAGACGAGAGGAGAAAAGCCAAAATACTGGAGAATGGAGTCCAAATTGGCTCAAGCCATAGATGTGCAGTCCGCAGACGAGCAAGAGGCCAGGAGAAGATGTCAAGATGGCGAGTCAGCAATCAGTTTAGGCCTTAGGGTGAGCTGCGAGCATACGGAGAGTCGGCGACGCGGCTGACGCCCGGTGAGCCGACGGTGTTGGCTGAGGCGTGCCGCGAAGAGAACAATTTTGTTCACCCTCATTTGAAGGTTATGTTCACCCCACCCCTATTTGCCTGCCATGTGGCAAGGCAATACTTTACAATTTGGCAATTGTTTTATCTTTTTCTTTTTTAATCAATTTTTTTTAAAAAAAATATATCAAAATTTTTCTTTTTTTACGATCTTTCATGTGGTACTAATATTGCATATAAAAAAATAAAAAAAAAATCAACTAAAAATAGATATTTGGAAATAAATGATTTTTTTTTCAAATTTTTATATATACAAAATTAGTAACATTGGAAAGATCATAAAAACTAAAAAATATGATATGTTTTTTTATAAAAAATAGATCACAAATAAAAAAGTTATAACATTTTAAAGAAAAAATGGGATGAAATGCCACATGGCAATCATAGAGCAAAGGGGGTTATGTTCACCCTCCTTAGTGGGGGTGTACAAAATTGCACTCGCGTGCATCTGCAACTCTGCGTGATAATTGAAATACTGAATCCGTCTCAGGCTTTGCTTCTTAGAGCTGGACTTTCTTTTGCATTGGGCCAAAATATTTTTACCCTGGGCGAGTTTTATTTTTGCAACTGGGCCAGTTATCTAAAAATAAATGGGTAGTTCTATTTACAGCCCCGCTATTTCTATTCACAGCCACTTAAATTAAAAACAATTTTTAATATCCAATTTACCCTTGAACGCTGGCCTCAAATTTTCCTTACCTCTGTATCACCATTTTTAAACACTTCTCGAGGATGGTGATGCAACTTCCAGACACATCGGCAAGGAATGGAGGATCAACTTCTTGATTGTTTGGGAATTGAGGTTAGAGTAGTTTGTGCTTCATCCAAAATGTTGAATTTCTCACATACATGAAAGTCTTCGACTAATATCCATTGGAAAAAACGTGTTTGTGGAGGTGGAGGTGTTTGCCTTGTTCGATAGTGTGTTGACTATTGAACAACAAAGAATTTTATAAGCTCGGAATAAATGATAGCATTGACCCATATCTTCTGTTTCTACTCGCATCCAGGGCATTCATGGCAACAGGGAGATCCTTCTTGTGGCAGTATGCAACATGCTTCCCAATCAATGCATCAGATAACATATTTGATCCATAATATGCATCAACAGTACACGAATCGAGCATTTTTGCAAAAGAAACTGCATGTAAGCATTGAAAGAGAGAACCTATATCTACTTCCCATGATGCAAGCCGGAGACGATCCCTAGTCAGGTTTGCAGTAGCCGCTCCCAATTTCGTGGGAGCCTTCCCCATGGCAACCGTCGACCGTCACCAACAAGTGGAGCTTTCCCCGATGATGAAAGATTGGGAAGTTCGTATGCGTACAGAGGAGATGGAAGGGCAAAATAGATATTTAAAAAAGAAATATTATTGAACTTTAAATTTTATGGCTGTCATTAGCAATTCTGCGTGTGCGAATAGAATCACCCAAACAAATTAATCTATATGTATAATACCAAAAAAATACCCTGGACCATGGCCCAGCCAGGCCACCCCTCCCTCCGCCCCTGAATGCTTTAAAGCTTATGTGTTAAAGTTTAGTCCTGGTTTGACAGTTTAATGAATTTAAACTGTTAAGCTTTTAAAGTTTATTGCTTAAAAGGTTATTGGTTTAAGCTTTACTGGTTTGTTTAAGCTTATCGGTTAATGATTTCTTAAAGTTTACTCTTGGTTTATTGCTTTTAATAAGGCTCGTAAAAAAAACCATTTTGTAAAGTTGTTTTTTGATCGTAAGGTGCTTATATCATTAAAATAGCATTCAGCAGGGGTACAAAAATGTAAAAGGACAACATATAACCATCCGCCCTTGACCGAGACTCTGAGTTAATCACCTTTGAGAAAGCAATATAACTTGCTAGACCTAACTTGGGCAAATTAAAGCCAACGACGATTACCGTAGACCTCTCAACCCCCAAACCTAATGCAAGAGTTTTACAATAGAAGAAAGAGTAAAAACAAGAAATAACAATCTGACCATGGAGTAGCACGAAAATTAATAAAATTAACTGACAAAGCAACCGAATCCATGCTTCAATCATCATCCTCGGCAGTGGCTCAGGAGGGGGACGGATCATCAACCCTTCATCTTGGATCATTCCTTGCAAACCTACCACCACAATATCCATTGGCAACTCCTTAATCCCTGTGGTTATAGCACGAGTAAACCTGGAATCCATGGTTACCTTCCCAATCAAAACCAGTGGCACCAGGCCCCTGGTGCCAACCTCTGACTCGGATCCTTCTCTATCCTCTTCCTCGGCCGAACCGAAGCAGAAGGCACCTATCGCTCGCCGTCCTAAGTCGACCTCCTGATGTTCCAGTGTGAAGCGACAAAATAAAAAACCCAAGCAGCCGAATTAGCCCAAGGGTTTAATTCCTTGCTAATAGGCTAGGACATATGAGCAATAAGGGTTTAGATGTCATGCGTAGGGCTGGTTATTTTGGTAAGGACTCTGTGACTTCTGTGCCTTTCTGTGAATCATGTGTGTTGGGCAAGCAGCATAGAGTCAGTTTCCCTCCTTCCTCTTACCCTAATCTGTCTAAGTGTTCGTCTGTGCTTGAATATGTTCATGCTGATGTTTGGGGTCCTGCCAGTGTTCCTACCCACGGGGGTAGGAAATATTTCCTTTCTATCATTGATGATTTCTCTAGGAAGGTGTGGGTTTGCCTTTTAGAACACAAGTCTGATGTGTTTGTAAGGTTTAGGGAGTGGAAAACCCTAGTTGAAAACCAAACTGGCAGGAAGGTTAAAACCCTTAGGACCGATAACGGGTTAGAGTTCTGTAATAAGGAGATGGATAAGCTGTGTGTGGATTGTGGGATAAAAAGGCACAAAACTGTGCCTTATACTCCCCAACAGAATGGGATAGCAGAGAGAATGAATAGGTCTCTGTTGGATAA